ACCCACGGCGCCATCATTTTGATTTCGCAAGCGACAATGGTGTACCAGGTCTAAAGCCATGGCAAAAGTTTGAGCAAAACATGCTAACTGTTCTGCCTTTAGCTGCAGAGACGATCACAGAACACTATTTAGAGTCCCAGCCTCAGAGGAGACAACAGAGCAGTGGATTTATTGATTTATTTACTGTATATTGCTGCTGCCACACAGATCTAAAATAAACATGCGATTTATTTCCCAGCTGTTTACCTTCACAGACATAACCGACTGTTTTTGTAACTCATGTGTGTTTTTAACGTAAACTTGTGTGTGAATGAGAACTTAGTTTAGTACTCACATGCTGTGACAGCCGCTTTCTGTCCGTGTGCTTCGGATGTGTGCTCTCAGAAAACCGTTTATCAGAAGTTTAAACTAATATGGTTTAAAACGCATGATTTCAGCGCGATAAACATGATAATCAGAACCAAAACAGATGTTTTTTTGCAGGTACGAGCTGTAATGGCACAGACAGCTCTATTCTGGAAAATGGGGGCGGGGAGCAGCAGCTCATTTGCATTTAAAGAGACCCGAAAAACAGCGTGTTTTGCTTCCACTCAAAATAGGCATTTTCAAAATTATATAATAAATGATCTGTGGGGTATTTTGAGCTGAAACTTCACAGACACATTCTGGGGACACCAGAGACTTATATTACATATTGCAAAAAGGGGCATAATATGTCTCCTTTAGCAAAATCCAGGTGAGTTTATTTTGTTTATCTCAACTGCCTTGATTGCCTACATTAACGTCTTTTAATGCACACCTGTAGAGGAGATTGTAGTCACCAATTTTCTGTGGAGTTCAGTAAGCTTAATAATGTCTAAATTTATGTTGGGATACTGAATTCAAAATTATTTGGCTAGGCATTAAAAGTTACAAAAGTATTATTAATATGTGGTTTAAACCAACAATAATTTTCACATTTTGTTCCATGAATTATGAGAATTGAAAATACTATAGCTGATTAACACGAGAAAAGCTGGCAAGAGTTTATCTAAAACATTTAATTTAATCTGAAGGGAGTAAGGCTCTATGATTTTGACCACACAGGGCTTCACCACACACACACACACACACACACACACAATGCTAAAGATGCGTCCCTATTATGGCAAGCCGTTTTGACTTTTATTCATTCTCAGGATATGAATTTTTGATATCAACAATTCAATTTTTACTAGTTAAAATGTTAATTCTTGATTATTTTCACTAGTTAAATGTCACCATAGGCTGCCATTCAAATTTCATTGTTGATATCAAGAATTTATTTCTTACTAGTTGAAATTCCAATTTCACATATCAGAAATACAGTTCTTACTAGTAAAACCCTTTGTTTTTGATATCAGTAATCCCCTGGTTACTAGTACAGACGTCTATGGCAAGCCGTTTTAGCTTAAAATATCCCCAGCGTTACTCGTCGTAATTGCATTTTTACTAGTAACAATTCAATTAAAGAGCTCTACAATTAAATTCTTACTAGTAACAATGCCAGTTAGAGAGCTCTCTAAATCAATTCTTACTAGTAACAATTATAATTAGAGAGCCCTCTAATTCAGTTATTACTAGTAAGAATTCCAATGCCCCTCCCCCTTCGCTACATAATTAAAGCTGCGACAGTTGAGTGTATGAAGTGTCCAACATTCCACACACATTTTTTTCGGTTCTTTAAGTGCATCATCCAGGTATTTAAAGTGCACTTTTTCTTTTTGGAATTTTCAGTGTGAACACACTACTCGCACTATTTATACTACTAAACGGCATAGAATAGTGCATGTCACTACTCGATCTGTCCCGGAAACACGATTTGTACTGTGCATGTGCAAAAAATGCATCTACTTCCTGTCTGGAAAAAAAAAACAAGGCGTATGTGTGACCTGCATGTATCGGAAGCTATATTGAATTGCCCTGTCTAGACTATGCTCCAGATGAACATGCACTTCAAATAGAAATAGACGCTTCCGTGAAATACGTGTGGTATACTAACACATAAACCAATACGGACATTCTAAAATGCTTAACGTGGCTTGCTCAATTTATTAAAACAGTGACATTGTAGGACCAAATTCAGTACAAACCTTATTAATAAAGCATACTTTTTGCAGACAAGCAGAATAGCTTGACCCTCAGAGGCCAGGATTCTGTCTCGGCCCTTCGACCCTTCGGCTCCACCGTCATCAGTCTTCCGTTCGGCTTCACTGGGGCCTCTTGTACTCCTAGCTCCTGTTTCTAGTTTAGTTCCTCATTTTAGTCTGTGTATTTATACCCCATTTAATTCAGTTCGAAAGAAATATAAATCTTTTGTAACATTATAAATGTTTTTACTGTCACCTTTGATCAGTCTAATGCATCCTTGCTAAATAGCATTCAGTTCTTTTTAGAAAATCTTACTGACCCTAAACTTTTGAATGGTATGTCAAAATTTAAGTTGTTGCCTACATTTGTTTCAGGGCATGTTATTTTCCTCTTACTCTAAAAAATGTAAAAAAGCTAATTATTGTGTGCTGATTCTGCTTCACAGGTACAAATAAAGTTAATTCAGAAAAAAATAGCTTTCTCACACTTGTACATAAACTTCTGTTGAGAAATCAGTCTGCTCTGGGTCAGGCAATGACATGATTTCACAAATGTCTCCACTTCTCTCTGACAAAACAGAGGAGAAATTACAGAGAGAAGTTAGGCATCTTGGTTTCATGCAAAATGAAGTTACGCTGATAACTTTATATGCCACTAAAATACAGAGGGAGTGTTAAAGTGTTCTTAAATTTAATTCTTTAAATTATATTAAAAATATATTAATCTGAATTATTTTACCCAGTGGTTTGTTCATATATAATTTCCTGATTTTGTTACGATTTTATTTACAACAAAAAAAATTGGAAATATGTTGTGGTCAAGCTCAGACATGATAAGACACTTGCATGAATAGGATATTTATAAAGGGCTAAAGTTAACAGCTGTTCACATGGAAGGACGTCAACTCCAAATTTGTTTAGCTGATATCATGATTCCAGTTTCTGTCATTTTATGAAAGGATGGAGTGTTTTCAATTCACACAATCCAACTAACAGCACAAAGCATTGCAGAATTTGTTGCTGATATTTGTATTAGTAGTGTGTTATTATTACTATATTCCAAATTCAGCAACTGAAACTGTTATCTGTTTAGAATTTGGACAGAACTACAGTAGGGCCAGCAAAGTGAACTACAAAGGAAACAAGGAGTCATTTTAGGCATGGTTAGTAGCAACAAAAAAACGCTTTTTTTTTTTTTTCTACTATTTAAAAAATATAATTTATTTAAAAAAAAGATTAAAAAAAATAAGAAACACCAGAATATTTCTTAATACATTGCCATTTTTTCATGCTATCATGTTAGTAAACAGGCAACAAGTAAAATGATTTAAAATGAATTTCCTGTGTTCAGTTAATCATAATTTTATAATCTTAAAAACTAACTAATATGAATAAAATGTTATCTAATCACAACATATGATAAATGTGCGCCATGGCAGTAATCAGCCAGCAGATGGCGCTAATACTCACAACTGGTAAAATAAGCTTGCAGAAGTAGAAGAAGAGGAAAACACACATGTAAGTGCACTACATGTTTACCTATTTGATCCAATGTGAATTTTCTACTTGAGGAAAGTCACTATATCACTAGAAGTCTCGTGACATCGTGATCGTTCGGCGTTTCAGTTAAGAGAGAGTCAGTCGACGTTTCTGATCTGATTAACATTAGTATGAACTATGGAAACACGGACTGATATGAGCAGGATTAATTGATCATCTGATGTAGATATGAAGCTCAAAGAGCTAGAAAGCTGTCTTCAACAGGTGGATGGATTTGAGGAGCCCAAAATACTCCTGGAGCAGTATCCCACCAGTCCGCATATAGCTGGTGAGCATTATACTGTATTTGTATCCATTCCATTGTATGCATTTTTAACCATAAGATGTGTAACTTATTTGTGAGTTTTTGGATGCGTCTATTCTATTCTGTATTCGGATTAGCAAATTTGTATACTATTCTTATGATTCCTATAGTGTATATATACTGTGCGAAGTACGCAATTTTTATGTTGTTCATATCTGAAATACGGCGCTAGGTAGCCTACTGTATCCACAATGTAATTATCTTTTTCTTGGCTCGGTTTTTAAGAGGTTTAAGAAGTTTTACAACATTTTACAAAAAAAAATTGTGTTAAGAATAGTAACATAAGTAACTTTTTTTTTTTGCAACTGGGAGCTTGGAAGCCTGTTTCGGCCACAGGAAAGAAAAATGTTATTGTGACTTTTTATCTCACAATTAGGACTTTATTTCTCGCAGTTCTGAATCTATAACTCACAATTTAAAAAATAAAAAAAAATAAAAAAAAACTCAGAATTGCGTGTTTATATCATAATTCAGAATTGCGAAATAACAATTTTTTAAATCTCACAGTTTTGACGTAACATCTCACAATTCTAACTTTTTTCTCAGAATAGTGAATTTTTTTTAATTCTTACCTTGTTTCTCACAATTTGAACTTTAAATCTGCGATGTTGAGTTCACATTTTGCTCACTTTTTATGGTTAACTTGCAATTGCGCAAAATAAAGTCAGAATTGTTGTAAACTTGCAATTGTGAAATGAACTCAAAATTGTGAGACGTAAACCCGCAAAGGATTTTTTTATTAGCTTTATATCTTTATTCTGTGGCAGAAACAGGTTCACTGAAGCCACTTACTGAATTAAATATGCACATAATGAGGTCATGTGACAACAATGTGACATACTGATTGAAAACTTTTTATCATTGCTTAATGCACACTGTTTCACGTGCTACTTTAAAAATAGTAGGCATTGTACAGTTTAGAGACCGTTAATGAATATTTAATTCATAATTTTATTGAACATTGTGGAGTCTTTTGTCTGGGACAGATGGCCTTGAGTGGTCTTTTTGTTTTAATATACTTTATTATGGCATAAGCTACCATCCAGTTGGCCTATGTTTTTTCACACTGTAGGCTGTATGTTGTACACCATCCACAACACATTTGATGACATACAGCATAAACTAGTTGCAGACTTGGGCTGTGGATGTGGGGTTCTGTCTATAGGAGTTGCAGTGCTTGATGCTGGGTAAGACCAACTCCAGCCTTTCATCTACTGCCTGAAATTACTCTAGTTTTAAAAATGATACGAATCAACATAACTGTAATCTTTCCTCTCAAGGCTATGTGTTGGATTTGACATTGACAAAGACGCCTTGGACATATTCAAAGGAAATGTTGAGGATTTTGAACTGTCAAACATTGATATGGTCCAGTGTGACGTGTGCTCTATTGGATCCTCTTACGCCAAGAAGTTTGACACGGTCGTCATGAACCCGCCATTTGGCACGAAGCACAACCAGGGTAAGAGTCATCTTAAAGTCAACAAGCTGTGCTGTTGACATAATCTGATGCATTTCTTGTTTTTATTTGCAAAACTGCCAAAATAATATCTGTTGTCGAACAGGTTTCCCAAATTCCATTGGTTGACCTTATCTTCAATTTCAGGTATTGACATGCAGTTCCTGCGGACAGCGATTTCCATGGCAAGTACAGCAGTGTATTCCCTTCACAAGACCTCAACACGAGATGTAAGTTGCCATATTATGTCATAGCTTCAACATTTCAATTATATTCATAAGAAAAACTTACAACTGAATTGCATTTTTGTGCAGCACATTCAGAAGAAAGCAAATGATTGGAAAGTGAAAATGGAAGTCATTGCAGGTAATATTTAGTGCACCTAAAAACATGCACTACCATTCAAAAGATAGGGCTATATATCTTGAAGAAATTAAAACTTTTATTTAGGGGTGCTCCGATCAGGATTTTTGAGGCAGATCGCCGATCACAGAAAGCAGTATCTGCCGATACCGATACAGATCTTTTTAAAGCCTTCTTTTTATCATTTATAACTATTTATAGTGATACTCCAATCAGGATTTTTAGACATTTATTCAGGGCCTGAATTTCATTTTTGAAAATGGGGGGAATTCCCCTC